TGTTTGTTTGTTTGTTTTTGAATTCAGAAGCAAAACCATGAGGATCTGGGCTTTTCTTTGTTGGGAGGTTATTTATTACTCATTCAATCTCATTGTTTGTTATGGGTCTATTCAGACTTTTTATGTCCTCCTTATTGAATCTTGGTAGATTTTGTGTCCAGGAACTTGTCCATCTCATCCAGATTTTCTTGTTTGTTGGCGTACAGTTGCTCATAGTATCCTCTACTGATGTTTTATATTTCTATTATGTCTGTTGTTATATTGCCTGTTTCTTTGCAAATTTGATTTATCTGGTTCTTTTCTCACTTAATCAGTCTAGCTAATGGTGTGTCAATTTTGTTTATCTTTTCAGAGAGCCAGATTTTGCTTTCATTTGTTTTCTGTATATTTATTTTCTGTTTCATTTATTTCTTCTCGAATCTTTATTATTTCTTTTCTCCTGGAGGTTTTGGATTTTTTTTGTTGTTGTTGCTTTTTCAGTTCTCTGAGGCATGATGTTAGGTTGTCCGTTTGTCAACTTTCCATCTTTTTCTTTTAATCTCTAATAGTTCATTTGATTTTTCTTTATGGTGTCTATTTCTTCTTTCAAATCATGGAAGGACTTCCTCATCTCCTGGAGTTCATTGTTTCTTTTCTGTTCCAACTCATAAAGTTTCCTCACCATGAATGTTCTGAATTCATTCTCTGACATTTCATTAACTTCTATCTTTTCGAGAGATGGGGACTAGCAGTTGGCATAATGGCTATGTTACTGAACTCCCATGTAGCAGACCACGGTTCGAGTCCCGGACCTGGTGGCTTAAACTCAAGCCCGGCGCATGTGCATGCATGCCCAAGATCCTGAGAGGAGAATGGAGGAGAAGGGATTGTGGCATGGTCATCCCCCGGGGGGGTGATTTCTCACTTTCTAACTCTCTGTTTTTCTGGTGAGCGCATGCACCCTATAGCAAAAACCTCTTTCAAGAAAAAAAAGAGATGGAAGAGAGTTATTGTGTTCTCTTAATGGAGACTTATTTTCTGTTTTGTTTTGTTTTGTTTTGTTTTCTCAATTTTGAGGCTCTTCTGTAGCCTCTAGCCATTTGGTGATGTATTCACTTTTGGATAACTCTTCAGAGAATGTTTCTGAACTGGGAACTAGTTTGCTTCCCTTTTGCAGTGAATTGCTTCTGTGCCAAAGTCTCTCTTCTGCTATGGTTCTCAGTGTGGTCCCCATGGGAGGAGTTTTCTATTCTGGTTTCTAATGAGCAGTTTCTCCTTATTTTCTGGTAGTTCAGTGCTATGCAAGGATCCTTGAGAGCATCAAAATGCTAAGATGTTTGAAAACTATAATTCCAAACCTGTCTATTCCCTCTGAGGGCTAGGTGGATGAACAGAAAATGACAATGTAAGAGGGAAGAAAAAAGAATATGACAAAGGGAAAAAGAAAAAGATTTCAGCAGGGGCTGCAGATGGAAGTGGACTGTGCTTGAGAGCTGAGAGTTGCCCTGACCTATAGGAGAAGGGGAAGTAAAGAATTAGCCAAAGAAAGAAGGAAAAAAAAAAAGGTCTGCTTTTCTGCCTGAGAAGAGGGAGGGCCTCTGAAGTTGGGAACTGGGGCTGGGACCGATGGTAGACCTTGCCTCAGATTCCCTAACTGGACAGGATCCTGCAGATAGAGATGGACTCTCAAGGTACAGGTTTATTTGGGTGCAAAAAATCCATGCATAATATTTTGTAATATGCATTTTCCATGATCTTTTTGAAGATACATTATATTTTTCAAGTGTGCTGTTGGTGTGAGACACTGTAGAATACCAAGATTAATCAGATGTGACTGTTGCCATGGAGAAATTGACATATCATGTAGGAAATAGGGGATTATAGAGAGTTACAGAAAGTGTTACAGTAGTAGGGACCAGCAGTTAGCGTAATGGCTATGTCACAGAACTCCCATGTAGCCGACCACGGTTCGAGTCCCAGACCCAGTGGCTTAAACTCACACCAGGCGCATGTGCATGCGTTCTCAAGATCCTGAGAGGAGAATGGAGGAGAAGGGATTGTGGGATGGCCATCCCCCTGGGGGGGTGATTTCTTGCTTTCTGTCTCTCTGTCTCTCTCTGTCTGGAGTCGCATGGGACCTGTAGCAAAAACCCCAAAAAAAAAAAAAAAAAAAGTGTTACAGTTGTAGAAAACTATGGCAAACGAAGAAGGTTCAGTGACTGGCACCTCTGTGAGGTACACGACGTTATAGGTTAAATATAGTAATGTGAATACTAGATGAGGAGAGCAATCCAAGCAGAAGAATTGCTTGGACAAAGATAAGGTGGCATGAAAGCATAGGGTTTTTTAAATTTTTTTGGAGAGGTTTTTGCTATAGGGTGCTTGTGCCTGCTAGAAAGACAGAGAGAGAGACAGAAAGTGAGAAATCACCCCCCAGGGAGGATGGCCATGCTGCAATCCCTTCTCCTTCATCCTCCTCTTGGGATCTTGGGCACGCACACACGCACATGCACCCGGCGTGAGTTTAAGTGACCGAGTCCAGGACTCGAATCACGGTCGACTACATGGGAGTCCAGCGACATAGCCATTACGCTAACTGCTGGTCCCCGAAGCACAGGGTTTTTGTACGTGGTTATAAAGAGTAGTTGTGATTTCCTTGGAGTTATGGTATGTATACTAGAATATGAAATTTGATAGGAGTTTTAATTTCACATTTAGATATTTCTTCCCTCATTTTCTTTCTTCCATTTTTTATAAATTTTATCTTCATGTATTTATACTGTTTTACCCTTTCTACCTCAGAATATTTGATACTCTTTTGTTTCCAGATCACTCGTTCTACCATCTCTTCTCATTTAGAATTTCCTGCCTTTGGTCATCTTTCTGTTCTGTTTTCTCTTCTTTATTCATTTCTTGAATTTTCCTTTAATCTTGCATGTTTCTCTAATTCAAGTCTTCTTCAGAACACAGATTTTGTAAAATTGTCAGCTCTGCAAAACATCCTGCGGTCTTTCTCGAAAGAGTTGATCACACTCTCATGCCTCAGTCTTCTGTCTGGATACCTATTTTTGGTGCTCTCACAGGACAGCAATATTTTAATATCTTATTTAACACTTAATTGTGATCTCTTTGAGGGCAAAAAAAATCTGACTCATTTGTACATTTTCAGTTTTAGCTTCTCATTAGTTCATAACAAATTCTTTGATAAATGGGATATGTTTATTGACATTAGTTTAACTTGGCGGAAATTAATTTTTGCCTTTAAGTATTAGAAGTAAGAATAGAAAGTAGAATGAAAATTACAGAGAGAATGTAGAAGTGTGTTAGTCAATTTGATAAATAATTGTATGCATGGATCAGGAGAGAAGAAAGAGTCTGATGTTATTTAAAATACCAGAGCTGGAAGTCACTGAACAAGGACACACAGAGAATCTATGTCGAGGGTTCAGCATGCAGTCTAGCTGATTTAAGGCACCATCAGATATTGCTCTAGAAATATGTAGTAGAAATTTAAAATTTTAGGAACAGAGTTTTTGGCTAGAGATACTTAATAACAATTGTTCATAGGACCATAGTCATAATTTTACAAATATAGAAGTATTTCCTAACTGTTTATTTTTGAACACAGCTGAGGTTAAAAAATTAAATATGAAAATATTGTTTAGAACCTTCCCTGTAACATAGTGGTTAAGGGAGCCAGATTCCACTTGGCCAACTGTGGTTCAAATCCTGGCCCTAGCAGTTTGGGAGAGACACAGGGGATGTGTGTGTGTGTGTGCATGCATGTCCAGAATATCCAGGATGGAGAACATATTGCTATGCAACCATGCCCCAATTGGGGGGCGGTGCTTTTTCCCTCTTCATCTCTGGCAAGTGTACATGTCCTCTGGCAGTCTAAAAAAGTGTTAAAATATGAACAAAGAATGTAATACTAATACAGAAATCGTATGTAACATCCAGCATTTTGTTATTATTTATTTTAAGAGAATTTTTTTTCTGTAGCATGTGTGTGCTCACTGAAGAGACCAGAGAGAGACAGAAAATGAGAAATCATCCCCCAAAGGTGGAGGCCAGTCTGCAATTTCTTCTCCTCCATTCTCCTCTCAGGACATTCTCCTCGCAGGATCTTGGTCATGCATGTGCACGTCCCAGTGTGTTTTAAGCCGCTCAGTTCAGGACTCGAACCACGGTTGACTATGTGGGAGTCCAGCGATATAACCATTATGCCATCTGCTGGTCTGTTGTCACTATTAAGACCATTTCTCTGAGTCTACGCCGTATATTTTCATGATGTTGTGTATTAAAAGCTTTCCTTTGGTTAATTTTGGAAGCCTGGTGATTGTATTTGCAATATAAAGTTTTTTTTAGTTCTCAAAATCAATCATAACGTGCACTTCCTCTACAACCACATATCCCAGAAAGCCAACCTATTTCACGTACATGTATTAGTCACAGATGGTGTGCGTGATTTGCTTTGCATATGACTGATATGATTATGTAATTTCTGTAAGAAGTCAAGTTATTTTGTAAATGTACTTTTAAGATACTAAGTTTGTAGGAAAAACATTATCCTCTTAAAGGCCAAATAATTTGGGGCCAGCTGGTGTTGTAGGAGTTACAGTGCTGGATCCACATGGCCATCTCCACAGTTTGAGTCCTGGATGTGGTGGTCTGAAAATCTTCCCTGGTGTGTGTTGCATGCATGCCTAAAATCTCAAGAGGAGAATAGAAGAGAAGGGATTGCAGCATGCCATCCCTGCTGGGGGGTGATTTCTCTCTCTCCCTCTATCTTTCTGGTGAGTATATGTGCCATGTAGAAAACAACTTCAAAAAATAATAACAACTTGATCAGTTTCCAGAAAGTTAAGATGATACATATTTACCCATCTCTTAAAATGATATGAAAACATAAATTTTTTTACAGTGTAATAGAGGGAAATCATTTCATTAATCTAAGATGTTGATCATACAATTTGTTTTCTTGAGGCATTTTAAAGTATTTGGTTATATTTTTAATGCAGATCACTCCTTTACCTGAAGCCAGAGGATGAGGACTATCAAATATGTGAAGCAATTGACTTTGAAGAAATTATAAAATATGATGGAGAGCTTCTAAAGAAGAGATGTAGATCTATAAATCCTTCGAAGAAATCATTTATCATGAATATTGTCCCAGAAAAAGATAATTTGACATCTTTTTCTGTGTATTCAGAGGATGGTTGGGACTTACCATATGTACTGCACTTGTGGCCACCTATCCTACTCCGCAATCTTCTTCCTTACAAAATTGCTTATTATGTTGAGGTATTCTGGATTCCTTTTTTTTAATGCATTCTTATCTTTGATTTTTTAGCCTTAATTATTTAAAATTATAAACACTGAAAAGTATTTTAAAGTTATAATAAAAATTATAGTGATAGTAAAGAATAGGTAGTGTAGGGACCAGCAGATGGCAGAATGGTTACATCACTGGACTCCCACATAGTCAGCTGTGGTTGGAGTTCAGGACCCAGTGGCCTAAAACTCATGCTGGACACCTGTGCATGTGTGCCCAAGATCCCGAGGGACAAATGGAGAAGGGTTTGTGGCATGGCCATCCCCCCAGGGGGTGATTTCTCTCTGTTTTTGTGTTTGTCTCTCCAATGAGTGCATGCGTCCTATAGCAAAACTCTCTTAAAAAAATTTTAAAAAGATTAGGTGGTACAGATATTTTTCACATGAAAAAAGAAATGTTTCAATGATGTTGTATACAAAGAATCTAAAGGGAAATATCTTCCACTGGTTTACCTTAAAAATCTGGCTAATAAGCTGAATATAAATTATATGCACAAATGTTATATGCCATTTAAAAAATAACTGACAAAACTAATATAGTGAGTCTGTTTACAGATATTAAAAATAGAACTAATTGTCTACAATTGCACTATCTAAAGCTATACTTCAGTTTTAGAAAATACATTTTTCAGTGTTTTCCATACATTTGTATTTATTTCATATATATTTAAGAGTTAGATACTAATTTTGAAATCAGTATGGAAATTAATACTAAGATAACATTCAAGTACTTGGTTGAAACAAAAAAAAAGGCTGCCACATTGTATTCTTTTAGGGCTAATTTTCTAAAATGGTTGTATACCTTTAAAGATGCTTTTTCCTCTTGAATACTCTGTTCTAACAGATTAAGTCATGTTCCCTCCTGTTATAGCATAGGACTCTCTCCACTTCTAAGATTTTTTTTTTTTTTGAGAGGTTTTTCACTATAGGGCGCGTGTGCTCGCCAGACAGAGAGAAACAGAGAGACGGAAAGCGAGAAATCACCCCCCAGAGGGGATGGCCACGCCGCAATCCCTTCTCCTCTATTCTCCTCTCGGGATCTTGGGCATGCACGCACACGCGCCGGGCGTGGGTTTTTTAAGCCACCGGTCCGGGACGCAAACCGCGGTTGACTACGTGGGAGTCCAGCAACATAGCCATTACGCTAACTGCTAGTTCCCTAAGATTTTATATATTACAAATGAAAGGACTCATTCTTCATTGTTGTCTATTATAACTTTATTTTACTTTGTGAACTGCTATGTATTTATACACTTCTCTGATTTTTTTTTTTTGGAGTGAGAAAAGTTAACATATGGGAGGGGCCAGCAGGTTGCACAGTGGTTAAGGCACTGGACTCCCGCATATCTATAGCTTAGTATATTTTTCTTGTAGGTGATACATTGTCATAGTTTTCAAGAATTTTTACTTGCTGTCATATTTGAAATTGCATCCTATTTCTGGCGCTCAGTAGATACATATCTTAGGCAGGCTGTGTTCTTTTTCTAAATTTTTCATCCTAGTCTTTGAAATCATGGTTAGGATATGGAGAAAATCAAAGTAAATAGTGTATGTAAAGTACATAGCACAGTACCTGATAGGTAGCAGTTCCCACTTATTTACGACCACTGTTATAGTGCCAGCACCATGATGGCTGTTTTGTGGAATATTACTTAACATAATTCACATTGTTTTGGTTTTAGTTTATAATCTTTTTTAAAAAAGAATTTATTTAATTTTATTTATTATTATTTTAAAATATTTCTCTAGAGCACATGAGCTCACGAGAGAGAGAGAAAGCAAGAAAGCAAGCTGCCAGATCCCGGACTCCAGCCACAGTTGGCCGTGTGGGAATGCCGCACCTTTACCATGCCATCTGCTGGTCCCATTAATTCATAATCTTAAGACGAGATTCCTATGTTGTAACAACAGGAAGGAACCAAGATAGAGATGGTGGGAAACTAGTGAGATAGTCTCTCCAGATGCATTTTTCATTCTCATAGAACTTTTATTAATTTGATACTTTCAGGAAAAATTTTCTGTTTGCCAATTTCCACTTTTATTAATTTGATACTTTCAGGAAAAATGTTCTGTTTTCCAATTTATAAAGGATATGATTAGTTTTTTGAAAGATCTTTCCTTAACTGTGGTATACAGAAGGGACTAGAGCTGATAAGAGACTCTTAAAACTTAGAGGTTATAGTGACACAAAATAAGTTCATGGAAACGTGGGCAGAGAGGGGCCAGCAGGTTGCACAGTGGTTAAGGTACTGGACTCCCACATTGCTGACTGTGATTTGAGTTCTGGACCCAGTGCTTTGAGACTCATGCCAGGCGCATGTACGTGCATGCCCCAAATCCTAGGAGGATGGAGGAGAGGGGATGCAATGTAGCCATCCCCGTGGAGGGGCAGTTTCTCGCTTTTTCTCTGTCTCTCTCTCTCTCTGGAGAACGCATGCACCCAATGACAAAAATCTCTCTTAAAAAAAATGTAGGCAGAGAGAAATGAACACTTTGGAGAGATATGTAAGATGTAATATCAACAGTTATTGCAGGGCTGGCAGATGGCATGGTGGTTAAGGTGCTAGACTCTCACATGGCTGACTGTGGTTTGAGTACTGAACCTGGAGGCTTGCTTTTTCACTCTTCCTCTCTCTCTCCATCTCTCTCTGTCTCTCTCTGGTCTAATTGAAACATCATCATAAAA